CTCATCCCCAGGGCTCGCCAAACCACGGCGAGCCCCACTCACCAGCCGCGCTGTCCCAGCTCGCCACGGGCGAGTAGATTACATTATTTGTCAAGTCCTGCTCATCCTTACCCCCGGTCTGACCAACGGGCTCGCTGTCTCACGGTATTAACACTTAGGCTACGTCTAGACTACATTCCTGTCGACAGAGGAATGTCAATGAAGGACTTCGACATTGCAAAGGAAGCGCTGATTTACAAATTTTGCGCTTCATTGGCATAAAGGATTCCGGTCGCTTTTTTGAAGAAGGATTTTTCTAAGGAAAAAAACATGGTCTTGATGCGGTTCTTTCGAAAAAAACCCCACCCTTTTCTGAAAGAACCTGTAAACCTCGTTTTTTCAGGCATTAGGGTTCTTTCGAAAAAAAAACCACCCTTTTCCGAAAGAACCTGTAAACCTCGTTTTTTCAGGCATTAGGGTTCTTTCGAAAAAGGGTGGGGTTTTTCAAAAGCCCCATGTCTAGACCCCGGGGTTTTTTTTTCCTTCAAAAAATCCTTTTTCGAAAAAGCAATCGGAATCCATTATGCAAATGAAGTGCAAAATTTGTAAATCAGCACTTCATTTGCAATTTCGAACTCCTTCATTTACATTCCTCTGTCAAAAGAGGAAATTAAAATTAAAATAATGGAGATTGCCTATATCTCTTAGAACTGGAAGGGACCTTGAAAGGTCATTGGGTCCAGTCCCCTGCCTTCACAGCAGGACCAAGTACCATCCCTGACAAATATTTGCCCCAAATGGCCTCTGCAAGGATTGAACTCATAACCCTGGGTTTAGCAGGCCAATGCTCAAACCACTAAGCTATCCCACCCTGGGAACACGGTCTAGAAGTAGTCTTACAGCCCCGCAGGGCCGCCCAGGGAGGGAGCAAGTGGGGCAATTGCCCCAGGCCCCGTAGGGGCCCCCACGAGAATGTCTGAAGTCTGAGACAGGGAGTGCCAGGAAGGGGCCCCCGAAATTGCTTTGCCCCAGGCCCTCTGAATCCTCTGGGCGGCCCTGCAGCCCCCCCTCTTCTCAGATCTCAAAGCACTTTACAGAGGAGGCCAGAGTCTTTAGGCCCATTTTACAGTCGGGAAAACAGAGGCCCCAAGCAGGGGAGCGACTCGCCTGAAATTGCCCAGAAGCCCCACAGCAGAACCAGGAATTGAACAAAGTTTCTGAGCCCCGGTCCGATGCTCTATCCACTAGATGACACTACCCATTAGCATTCTCTTGGCAGCTCAGTCACATTCCTCCTCTGCAGCTGCTGGAATAGGCTCAATTGAGCAAATTTTTTAATTCCAGCCAATCCAGCCGCTCCTTCGGGAGCATGACCGGGGATGGCTACTGGGGGCAGTGCCCAAACGCCATACAGCACAACAGCTTCAGAGCCAGGGCGTGGGCTGGGCCAGCAGACAGCTTGGCACAACGTGCGGCCGTATTCTCCAGAATCTCCACTCTCAGGAGTACGTTGTTGCAGCTAGGAACCTTGAGCACGTGAAACACGCACAGGTACCGTGTGCCCGCGTCCGCAGCGAGCCGGCCACGATCGCTCAGACAGAGGAGGGACGGCCCCTTCCCCTTCGCGCGGGTCAGCCCAGACGCCAGCTGCAATACGTCCGCGTCGGCAGAGTTTGCTAGGACCATGCTCAAGAGGGCAGAGCGGGGGTTTTTTTGAGTAGCGCTTGAGAGAACAGGGCTGTTCTTCCCCCCACCCCAGTCTGACCCTCGCCCAAACACCTCATGGAAAGGGAGAAACGCTGAGCTGGCTGGGTTGGGTCCGCAGGCCGCCTGAAACCCTGCCACGGGGGGTGCAGAGAAGCAGCTGAAACCAGCGTGTGCAGTGCTTTGCATATGCAGCCTGTCCAAAGGTGAGCCAGGTGGGGAGGCCAGGTGGGGACACGTGTCCTTTCCCAGGGGGACAGGAAAGGTTGATGTCAAAGAGAGGGGAACATGGGCATGATTTGGGGGGATTCCCAGCAGACAGACCGGCCCAAGAGAAGGGGGATCGGAGAGGGCGCCCCACAGGCCACACTAGGTACTGGGCTCACCTTTCCTGGGGGGAGACCTGATCCAATCGCTCATGGCCAGGCCCCCGCTCTCCATGCCGGGGCTGGCAGGCGGGTGGGGTGGGGCAGCGGGGGGGCTCTGCCCCACGGCAGGCTGGGGACGGCGGGTGGACGGCAGGCTGCGGGAGCAGGAGCAGAG